TATACGCATATAAATTATTTTTATCGCAGCTACACCTTTTCTCTCATAAAATTTCAAAACCTTGCTAATTTACGTACGAAAACTTAATTACCATAATTCAGACATCAGAAGCCATCAGAAAGGCAAGTATGCGGAAATACATATGGAACATTTAAAAATACCAATTCTCTTAACACAATAACTTAAAAGAGTGCGCTTGTCTATATCTCTCGCGTACATCGTAAACAAACAATCCATCAAATCTACTAGACGCGTCATTCTTTGACAGTTCTAGACCGTATTCATCCTACTTATTTAATGAGAGTGTCGTGGAAAACATAAAAATTTTACTAATATTTTAATACAATCTCTATTAGCACGAAGGTTATGTTTTTGTCAAAAACACTTCAAATACTTATAGAAGTAACTTTTGCTTATAACAAGAATATTTCAATAGTAAAACTTCTCAACTTCTCGTAGGGTAATGAGACAAAAATGAAAATGAAAATTTCAATTATCTTCCGACGTTTCTGAGGTTTCTGAACATTTTCGAATACCTCAGAAAAAATAGATGTGTGTGTGTGTGTGGGTGTCTGTAGTATGTATGTATGTATGAATACAATTTTTCGTCGAAATTTTTGAATGCACCGGTCAACCGATTTGAATGATTCAAAAAGCAATCGATTGCTATTGATAAGGAGACGTTTTTGGCAATGCAGTGCAGAAAATAGAAATCGAGTTTTACCAATTCAAAATCATTCAATTTGTAATGATAGGGAGAAGTGATGATTAGTTTTTAGCGAAGGAAGGTCCAGCCGTCGTAGATCCGGAGCTAAATGTGCACAAAATAACAATTTTTGGAAGAAGTAAGCATCGAATTTGAATGATTCAAAAAAATTTCAGATTGTGTTAACGTAACGATAGCTTTTAGGGAAAGCAAAAAAAAACTTTTTTAATATCAAAAAAAAATTTTTTTTTTGAATATAGAAAATAATTCAGATTTGAATTTTAATTCTAGCTTAGGTAGTAAAGCTCACTTATATACTTCAAATAAAGAATTTTAACTTTGCAATTCAATTTATATAATTCTTAGAAATGTTCTTAATTTTAAATCAGATTGATTAAGTTTTGTTTAATTACTTTTCAGTAAACATATATAAACATCGTCAACCAATTCATAAGCTCTTATATTTTGTCTATAAAATAAAAATAATAAAAGCTAAAGCATTTATAATAATCTATTTGAAAACATTTAATATTCCCCGAATATTTCATTACATTACGCGAAGTTCCAGCATTTTGCCTTAAGGCACAATGCCACCACTAGTTTAATTAATATTTAATAATTTTATTCTATCTAACTAATCATATCATAATCTAATAACATTCTAACTATCAAATACAAAATAGCAAATATATTCATATTATATTATATCATATTTCATGTAATAAAGCAAATTACATTTATTAACTTACCGAAGGAGAAGTTTATGTTTTCATCAAAAAATCCGATTCGCTAATTTTATGTTTTCTCGACGTTTCAAGCCATTCTGAATCGAATGAGACCAAATTTGGAAAAACTATGTGTGTGTGAACAGATTTTTTGCCGTAAATCGACGTTTTCTCGAAAACGGCTGGGCCGATTTCTAAAATTTAAAAGCCATTCGATGTATCTCGACGAGGACTATTATTTGTCTGTTTTGTGCGACGATCGGCCAAGCCGTTTCTTTATAAATCGCACAAACGTGAAACATTTTTCGTCTACGTTTTAGCCCGCAATTCTGAACCGATTTTAAAAATTCAAAAACCATTCGAAATATATTGGTTGGGAATCGTGCTGATTAGTTTTTGGTTGAGATCGGCCGGGACGTTCTCTTGTAATAAAGTTTTTTAAAAAAAAATTTGACGATTTTTATGATTATTATTTTGACGGTATTTACCATAGTCTTCTAGATCATACTAAAATATTACGGCCCTACGACAAATGGTTTAGCTTTAAAAATTCGTTAAAGTTTGCAAAAATTGGTATCGTTTTTTTGACATTTGTCAAAATTAGACCTTTGATCGACGTTTTCTCAAAAACGACCTAATCGATTTCAGAAATTTAAAAGCCATTTGATGTATTTCGGCGAGGACTATCATTTGTCAGTTTTGGGTGACGATCTGCCAAGTCGTTTCTTTGTAATTTAAAAATAAGTGTTAAACTTTTCGTCCTCATTTAAGCTCATCCTACCGAACCGATTTTAAAAAATCAAAAACTGTTCGAAAGATATTAGTTGGGAATGATACTGATTAGTTTTAGGTGAAAATCTACCGAGCCGTTTCTTGTAATTAACTGTTGAAAAAAAAAATTAAGCCGATTTTTATGGAATTTTTTTAGCGATATATACCATGGTCTTATAGAATTTACTGAAATATTACGGCCTTACGACTAATAGTTTGATTTTAAAAATTCATCAAAGTTTGAGAAAATGAGTAGTTCTTTTGACATTTGTTAAAATTAAAATTAGACTATTTACTTGGTATAATGATAGAGTACTTGGTCTTGAACATAATAAACCATTAAAGTCCTGGAAACTGGTTCAATTATAAAAATTATTGATTTCTGAAATTTACTTTTAGAAAATACTCCGAGTTAATCTGTTTGTTTGTTTTCAATTATGTGTAATAAATCCACTCGGAATACTTTTAATCACTCATAAATTAAATTAGTTTTTATTGATTAAGTCGATTATTTACTCATATCGGGAAGTTCATGTAACTTGCCTCAAGGCTAAATACCAAACCAACTAGTTTACTCTTATTATTAACAAAATAGTTGTAGTAAATTGCATTTGGAAATGAAAAAAAAAACTGCGGTTGCTATTGATTATTATTCTTATTATTCTTCTAATCATTAATAATTCTAATCGTACACTTTCAGATAATTGAGAATTCACATTATTGGATCTTCAAAATCGTGCCTTGAGTTTTGCGAGGTTTAAGTAATAACTGTCACAGTTTCATATATAAAACTTCTACATACTGAATTATGCAAAGAATCTTAATAAATTTAATCTATTCCTATTGCTCACGTACACGAATAAATTAATAAATCTTTTTGATTTGAAAATAAACTGCTAAATTACTTCTAGCAGACGTATCTGTAGCGAAAAGATTTAGACATGGCCTTCAATCTATTTATCAACGTATAAATACAGTTTTCTTAAATTAAAAAGTATTGAAAAGCTCAAGGTTTTAAATAGTGTGAAAAATTTCGAAATGTGCCAATACAAAATAATAGGCTGAAACAATTGAATAAAAAATATTAACTCTGTTAACAGGGCGTCCATTAATCACGTGAGGTTTTTAGGGGGAGGGGAGGTTTGACAAAAAATCACGAAATATCACATGAGGGAGGGAGGGGTATAGTAAGATATCACGTGTATTTATTTTTTAACTGTTTTTTTTTAATCAAACATTTTCAAAAAAAATTACTTCATTCAAAAATTTTACAGTTTTTTCACATAACTAAAAATACACGTGATATTTGGTGAGGGAGGGGGGGTAATTTTGAATACCACCATGTATCACCAAGGGGGAGGGAGGGGTCCAAAATCCTAAAAAACTCGCTCACGTGATTAATGAACGCCCCTGATGCAGTTTGTACACATCCAAGAAGATAAAATTTGCTGTGCAATCGGATTTGGCTGAAATTTTTATTACTTCTGATATTCATGTGGAGAGTGAATGCAATGACATAAAAAGCCGTCGAGAAATTCGTAAAATTAGTGTAATAACTGCGCATCATAAAAGCCATCGTCTGTTATTTTCGTAAAACATTTTAAATAAAACAAACTCGTAAATTGTCCACGCGAATGCAGACGACTCATCTGATCGTAATGACACTACAAACACTAAAAACACAGCCAAGACGTAGAAAAATGGTGGGAGATATGTTACATAAATCCATGAATATATAGAGGAATGTGCCAATAAAAAAGAAAAAAGGCAGAAAATAGCCCACAATGAAAAGAAGATCAATAATTGTGCCATCAGATATAATAATACGCTACAGAATTTTATAATTAGATATAACAATTTGATCAAAATTTATAAGTATATCACATATGCCAAGTAGTTCATTCAGTAGTATTCCATTCAAAATCGAATACATAACAAACATGGTAGGAAAATAAGAAAACATGAATAAAAAATCGTTTGTGTTCAAGTACTTAAAAAATGGTAAAGTAGTGCCATGTAAATAAACTGGATAGAAAACAAAAGATCAATTGAAAATAGACTGTCTACGCATACATTTTCCATATTAAAAATATCTCCTTCCGTTACACACGGACATCCAGACGGTTTGGTCATCAGTGTGATGCAAACATGCTGTCAAATATTAAATATCCAATGCATTAAAAAATGGCTCAACTAATGAAGAAAATTACTGCTTTCAGAAGATTAAAATGGCTATGCGTTAAAAATACATGCTTGAAAAAATTTCGTCATTTAATTTAAATGAGCGTTGAAACACTTAAGAATCGTATATCAACTAGTTATATCGTATTCCAAAATGCCATCTTTTTGACAGGTGGGATGAAAGAAGCGTAATGAAGCTTATAAACCATATATATATATATATATATATATATATATATATATATATATATATATATATATATGTGAGTGTGTGTGTTTTAAATATAAGAATATATCATAAAACATTTCAAATACGCATACATTCAAATCCGCCATTTCCATATAATTATATTTCCAAAAACTCCTTATATTTGCTTTCAACATGCAATATGTGTAACAGTATTCAAATATAAATTTTACTCCTTATAAAAATAAATTTTGCTGTTCCTAATCTACATCAGTAGTAGTTTGGTGAATATGGGTATATGGCACATACATTGTAAAGATAATTATAGACTAGTGACAAACCAAACGCCAAGAAATAAACAGAAAAACAAATATCGATAAAGCATTAAAAATTCTGAGGCAAAAATCACTAACGACTTGGATTTTCCTACCGTCGCAATGCTTGCAGCGTTTGGCGCGTGGCTCTCCGTGACCTGCCGGACCAGTGCTAACGGGCATCGTCGGCTCTCGAGTCGATCTCAATGCTGATCAGCATCGACCCGATCGAAATTAACAGCCCTGGGCAACGACATCGAACACCCCTCGGCTACGGGGGGCGTCTTACGTTGCGCCCCGCGCACCCTCACCGTATTGTCAACATTGATAAACAATCCAAGCAATAACAAGGAAAAACTCAACCTGTTCCGCTTTAAGATACAGGCAATTTCAACGAAACACACCACTTTACCCGACTTTTGATCGTTCATAAGAATATAAAAATATGTATAAAAACTGGAATCACGTGGAAGTATTATGAAGCATTAGTTGTGATGATTGTGTATGCGTGATATATGATTAGTGGCTGATAAATTAATTTTTCTGTCGCCTCACTTGGCGGTTGGCGCGGTACTGATTTGCCTGCTGTTAGTCCGGCATCGGCGTTGCTTTGGACCGTCCGCGATTTATTTCGGGAAGCGCCGATTAGAGCCACGCGTCGCCGCTAGGAGGCCGAAGCAGTATCAGCAGCAGATCCAAAAGCCTACTGTTCATCTAGCACGTGCTATATCTACAGCTTCATAATACACCTGCAGTACGACTCGATGCATCGAATAACTACAATATAGTAAAATGGGCTGGGCAGATAAAATATAATCCAGATTTGATGCTATCTATGCATATTCTCTCGATCAGTTAAGTGTATTGTCGTCTGATTATTATGAGTTGCGTTTTACCACGGTCAAAAATGTTCGAGTTCAACAAACACCATAATTTTTTTTAATTCAGAATATACAACATCTTTAATTGCAAGTTTATAATTGAGTATTTTGGTATATGTAATAAATTGTAACATTCATTTTTATGAATGTGCTAACGTTGTTATCAGAAATATTGAATGAAATCTTAGATATTGTAAATTGAATGCATCAATTAATTGCACTGGGCTGATTTTGATGCAAATTTTCTCGAACAATTGAGCATATGGTTGTCTGATTATTAGAAGTTGCGCGTGTTGGTTTTATACCGATGCCATAAACGTTCAAGTTCAACAAATACCAAAATTATATTCAAAATATGAAACATCTTTAACACTTTGGGGACGGCTGTCCACCTCAGTGAACAAACATACTCTGTGAGGCACAGGCTATTTTATAAACAATGACTCAGTTTGCATCGAAAAGTTGAACAAATTACATATAGCAGTGACAAACAGTATTGTATTTTGAAAATAATTTTAAATTATTTTAGTAGTATTTTTAGCCTTTTTCTTTGCTATTTGGTCTTTTTTTAATATTTAAAACGACCGAGCGCTTTTAAATATGGCAAAACGATTAGTAAATTTTGTGAATTAAGTGAATTAATAGACATTCATACAGACAAATTTTACGAAATTACTATTCGCACCGATAATAGTGATGAATGTGATTATGATATTATCTAACCAACAAAAAGAAGTTCGACAAAATAAATGAAGAGCGGGAAGACATTAGCGAATGTGCCGATTCTCCTTCAATAATCGAGTTTGACATACATCAACAAACACCCCGACTACAAATACCAAGCAATATAAGACATCCAATAGATTATTTTACTTTATATTTTATAAATGAATTATTAGACAATATGATAGAAAAAATAAACTATTATGGCAGCAAAAAAAATGATCAAATATACTGACTAATCAGTGGCATATTCTAAATTATAATAGAAAAAGGGATTGCATTGTCTGTTCTGACAGAAAAGCACCAGAAGGAAGGCGGCGAACAACATTTTATTGTAAAACATGCCAAAAACAACCAGCTATGCATTTTGGAAATTGTTTTGAACGTCACCATTCTTTACAAAATGATCAAAAATAAATTAATATTAAAAATGTATGTCCTTCAATGACCACAAGTTTTTATCAAACAAATTGCATAACATACACAATGAAATCAAGTTTACAGCCGGTAAAGTAGATAGTTTTGAAATCGGTGCCAGTGGCGTAACTATAGGGTGGCGTGGGTGGCAAAATGCCACGGGCCCCCGACCGAAGGGGGCCCCGGCCCAGAAAACCGCGGACTCAGAAATACATTTTTACATTGTACATTTGAAAAATTACACTTGAAATTTCACACAATTTCACTTGAAACTTATATTATATTTTCAAAGTAGGAGTTAATTACTCAACCAGGCTTGCATCGAACTTACATTCCGAATATTTAGTTAGTTAAAACCAAAGGAGTTGCCGACGCACAACGAAAGTATTGTGTTTTATCTTTTAATAATTTATAATTTATCAACTTTTAAGATAAAAATCACGTGAAGAACTCTTTTCTCAATAATATGAGGGCGTAGCGCGCCTTCGCGGGGCCTCGTATGAAAATTTGTTTGGGGGCCCCCTTGAAAAGAACTTTTTTATCACAAAATACGAAAATACATAAAATTTAAAGAATAGTTATTTATCATTCTAATTATTTATCAATCGAATATTCGAAAAACTGAATTATTAAGTGATCTGATGCCATTCTTGTTTAAACCTCCGTTTTATTGAAATTCCAAATGAAACTATTTCACATAAAAAGAAGTTTACAAACTGCAATTATTTTATTATAGGTTTTTTGTTGTAATATTCAGAAAATTATTGACATGAATTTGAAAATTTAAAATTAAACGCCACTAGTGTAGTAGAAAAATGATTTATCAATCATGATTTTTTTAAAACTCGTCACAGGAAGGTAATACGCTATTTTGACAAGCTTTGGAAATCAATATTCAAGATACTGGAAGTTTGTTAAAAGTGAAAATATTTCACCGAGTATTGGACATTATTATTAAACAAATTAAATCTTGTTTCTTCCGATGAATTAATATGTTCCAAATTTCAGTACTTTGCTACAATACAATAGAAGTTTCCAATGATACTGATCAATTAACTAAAAGCTCTATAATTTGTTTAGATAAAAAAGACATATTAGAAATTCAGAATAAACAAATTTTATAATTATTATTTAATAGATCAGTGCCATAAAAAAAACTTTTGTTCAGATTCTGAACCATTTGCCAGGTAACTATTGTTTCTTCAAGAAGTTAGATGACAAATGTCTTCATCTTCGTTAAAAACAATCGTCCAAAAGGTATTGAAACGGATTGGATTTCCGAGAAAATGAATACTTTTTAATACTGTTTTGAATCAGGGGTATTGTTTAAATCATAAATTTTCATAAAGATCGAACGTCGCTACTTAATCAATAAAATTAATTACAGTAAAATTGTTAATAGAATGTTATGTAATAATTAAATTTAAGAAAGTGGTATTTTTTTAAACTGTTATTAAAAAATTTTAAATTATTAAAAAACGTTTAATTTTAATTTCCATTTATTCTAACGTTGAAATTATTCACTAATATTTCATGTTTGATTTTCAAGGAAAATTATGTTTTATTTAATTACAAGTAAATTATAATTATACCTCTAAATCAATACTTTACTTTTCTACCTTTTGTGTAATTTCATAATTTAAAGCCATAAAATATAAATTAGTCGAAGTTGGTTTTCCAAATATGATAAAATTCATTAAAAATTGTTTTAGCCAGTAGTAAAACAGCGCGTAAATAACTATTAACGTTTATTAAACAAAATTAGATAAATTAAAAATTGAGTACCACGATAGGGCCCCACCGGATAACTTTGCCACGGGCCCCAGAGGGTCTAGTTACGCCACTGATCGGTGCTGTCCCGAAAGTTAATTATAATGAAAATGTTCATAATAAAACATTTTGGTATTATATAATAATGTGAGATGGCCCATTGTTATGGTTGTGCTTACGTTGTTTTTGGATGAAAAATCCTAAATAGTTCAGTAAACGGAGAGGAAAAAAGGTATATAACCTCTGAATTTTTTTACTGTGTTCCGAATTGCATGAAATTTTGGAATTAGGTTCATCCCTCAAGTCCAAAAGTGAAAACAATTCGGGTTCCGCCACTACCCCTTTGGTGGGTTTGCGACCCCTTAATAAATAAGTGGACATTGAGCCGATTTATCGCTAGTAAACATTTTTAATATTATAGGATATAATTAAAAAATATTTTTTAATACATTTACCTTGCTATAAAATCATTTTCAACTCTTCAAACCTTTCAAACAACCTCTAGATTAAAAAAAAACACCTAAAAATAAATTTAGGTATGATATAATAAGAATTACGTATAAACTAAATAATATTTTATGTTTTCTATCAAATTTTTAACCCTTTTAGACCCTCAAAAACAACCCCTTGATGAAAAATTGTTTAAAAAAATAATTTTGAAATTGATAGAAATTAAAAATGATATGAATGTTATTTCAATTTCTCGAAAATAATTACCATATCCATAATTTGTTCAACTCTTAAAACTATCCTTAAATAAAAACAGTTAATATTAGGTTGTCAAATATCTCCCTTCCGCTCTTGGTTTATAATACAAAAAGGCGGAAGGGAGATATTTGACAACCTAATATAACACTAATACCCAGTGTAATTTTGTCTAATTTGTATAGTTTTTGTATATTTGTTGTTCTTTTTACTGCAATTATTAAACTTTCATCTGACTATAGTGATATGAAACTATATTAATTTATTTAACAAGTTGACCTTTCAGCCATAAGATACTTTACTAAAAAAATAAATCGCCTGCCAAAATTCTGTACCATGAAGATAGATACATTTCATGATCAACATAATAATACAAAATTTTGTGGTTGAGAGTTTTCTGAAAATAGTTTGTACTAAAGTAGTGAATCTGCTAGAATCCATCAAGATGTCTATAATGAAGTGAATTCTAGATTGAATGTAAATTAGTTTAATTCTGGTAATATTTCTGGTTTAATTCAGTTTAAGAAACAACAATTTTGTTTAATTCAAAATATGCAATATATCTTTAATTGTGATGAATTTTTTTATAATATAATATTTAGGCATTATGAAATAATGTGAGATTATTCATTTTTATAATTGTGCTTGTTGTTCTGATTTGTCTCCATGCATAAAATTATATCCAAATTATATGAAATCAAAAACAGTAAAACGTTAATTTTGATACATATTTTCTCTATAAATCGAGTGTATAGTCTGATAATTATAAGTTATTGACATTGGTTTCTACCGGTGTCAAGAAATTTAACAAAAACCAAAATTTTATTTAATTCAAATTATGAAACATCTTTAATTGTGATAAAAAATACTTATTAAAACATTTTGGTAATATATGATAATCTGAGATTATTCATTTGAATGGTTGTTTTCTGTGCTATTAGA